CATTATTTTTAGTCTCGAAACAGGAAAGGGTCACAGAGGGGAAGATAGCGGAGATGAACGATGGAAAAGAAGAGAGGAGTTAGTAAAGAAATATCAAAGTAAAATTCAAGCAAAGCTGCAAGTAATTGACTCGCTTACACCGGAATTATTAACATCAATAACAACGCAAACCTGCAACGAAACTTATGGCAAAAGGAGAAAGACAGGAAAAAGACAGGGAAATTTATACTGGTGGAATGATACCGTCAAAGATGCCAAGGAGACAGCAAACAAACACAGACGAATCCAAACCAGAGCTAACGCAAAGGATAATAATGAAACAGAAAAACAAAACGCACATAGAGAGTATGAGAAAGCGAGGAAAGCTCTCAAAAAAGAAATTAAAAACGCAAAGAAAGTTGCTTGGAAAAAACTGTGCGATGAACTTCAGAACAACACATGGGGGGATGCATACATCATAGCTGTTAAAAGAACAATGAATATCGCTAAACTATCATTAAACCAGGAACAAGCCAGGACTTTAATTAAAGAGCTGTTCAAAGAGAGGGGAAAAAGATAACATTCAATTTAGAAGATGTGGAAAATGAATTGGAGTGTCGAGAGGTCACAGAAGAAGAAATTAAAAACCACGTAAACAAGCAAAAAAATGGAAAGGCCTCCGGCCCGGATAGGATCACACCGGAGATTGTCAAGGACACCGCCAGAGTAGCGAGTGGAAAGTTGACAGAAATGTGTAATAACCTCATAAAGAGTAATATATTCCCGAACATCTGGAAGTCCGGTAAACTGGTTCTTATCGAAAAGCAGGCTGGTGCAAACAAATATAGACCCCTATGTCTACTAAACAGTTATGGGAAATTGTATGAAGCTATCATTAAAAACAGGCTGGAGGAAGAACTGGAAGAGAGAGGTGGGCTGTCAGAAAATCAGTACGGCTTTAGAAGGGGGAGATCCACAGTCGACGCAATAGAAAGAGTAAAGGCGGAGGTATATAGGCTAGAGAGATTTAGACAGGGGAAGAAAAGGAAAAGTATGTTAATAACCATAGATGTCAAAAATGCGTTCGGTTCAGTACCATGGGAGTAAATAGTTACGGAACTAAAAAAGAAAGGAATCTCCACATATTTGATAAACATCATTAAAGACTATCTGAGCGAAAGAACCATAGAATACAACGGAGACATATACGAATTAAGTAGGGGGGTCCCACAGGGCTCAATCTTGGGCCCGCTCTTGTGGAATGTTTTCTTTGACCAAATTTTTGAGATACAGAGAAGAAATGAAAGAGTCAAGATGATAGCATACGCGGACGACTTGGCGGTGGTGGTAAATGGATGGGAAATCCGGGAGATTGAGAAAACAGCAGCTATATTAGAGAGAATAACACAGAAGATGGAGGAGATGGGACTCGTGATAGCTCCAGAGAAGACTGAGGCTATTATGTTGAAAAGTAGAAAATGTGGTGGGAGAGCTAAAATAAAGGTCGAGGGACATATGATTGAAACGGAGATGTCGCTGAAATACTTGGGAATAATGATGGAAAGGGATCTCCGCTGGAATAAACACGTAGAATACGTTTATAACAAGGCGCAGAAAACCGCAAGCGCGCTCCGTAGAATAATGGGCTCGACCTTGCGGACCGGGCATGGAGAAGAGAAAGATAATTGGCTCGGTTGTCTTCTCACAGATGTTGTATGCACAAGAATACAGAGACAGGTGCTTCTGCGAATAACCAGCGCATACAGAACTGTCTCTTCAGAGGCCTTACTGGTGATGGCGAACATACTCCCAATCGATCTAATGGCGAAAGTAAGGATGTCCGCGGGAGCATCAAAAGAGGACCGAACCTCCCTGCACGAAGATGTAGTCCAAGAATGGAATAGCAGATAGAGAAAAGACACGGGCAAGGCTCGATGGATCAAAAAATAATCCCAGAAATTAAAACATGGATAGCTCGTCGATGGGGGGAAGCAAACTATTTTACCAGTCAGTTGCTGAGCGGACATGGCTGTTTCAGAGCCTACCTTTATAAGCAGAGGAGAAGTGATGACGAAATGTGTGTCTACTGCACGGACAAAACAGATGACGTGGAGCATACGTTCTTTGACTGTGCAAGATGGAGAGACAAAAGACGGGAAACATGGGAGAAATTAGGAAGAACACTAACCCCAGAAAATTGCATTAGTACCATGTTGAAAAGCGAGGAAAGATGGAAGGTGGTGGAGGACTTTGTAAGGGAGGTCGTCAGCACGAAGGAGGCAGAAGAGAGAGCGATGGAGAGTATGTAGAGGGTATGGTGATGGAACAGAAGATGAAGAAGAAAAGTAGGGGGGGCTTTTAGAAATAAGCCCCCCCTAACCAGGTACGGTATGTCATGTTGTTTGTTATTAAAAGTAAGGTGGTGTTTGTTTTTGTTTTTATAAATTCGTTATGGTGGATATGGTTTTCGAGGCATAAGACCAGCGGGTACCCGTGGATCCCAGGTGGGGGGCTAAAACTCCGAAGAAAATCCGAGAGGGTGTTTCCGGAGAAGACGAGGAAAGGGGTTTTTAGTGGGTCGGGGTCATTGGCCCCAACCCCACACTATCTGGCCGCCAAACATCCCAGGCCAGATGTCTGCTAGCAGATTTTCCCCGACTTTCCACCAATGAAGTAGATCTTGATGGAGTGATCAAAATGTTCACATCGTATATAAGCAACTGTAGCATAACCAATATTGGAAGCATCACAGAATAAATGGAGTTGGCAAGTGTTATAAGAATCCGATAATATCATACGAGGTAAGTTAAAACTTGATAATAATGAAAGTTTTTGTTTAAACATTTCCCATTTCTGTACTAGCTGAAGGGGTGGTGTTTCATCCCAATCATATTTAAGTTGCCATAAGCGTTGAAGAAAATGTTTTGCCTTTAGTGTGCATGGAGTTAAAAAACCCAGTGGGTCATATATTCTAGCAATATCGGAAAGAATAGATCTGTTTGATGACGGTCGAGGTAAATAGGAATATTTGAAATTATCTATGTTGGGATCCCATTGTAGACCAAGGATTTTTACACAAATAGATTCTTCGTAATCGAGTGATAATAATAATTGTAACTGATTCTGGGATACTGTGTTGAGTACTTGCGGACAGTTACTGGCCCATTTGCGGAGTTCAAAACCTCCCTTTTCTAGAACATCAATTAATTCTTTTTGTAAGGTAAGTATTTCATCAATAGATTGAGCTCCAGTGATAATATCATCCACGTAAATGTTATGTTTGAGTGCCTTGCAAGCTCTCGGATATTCAAAACGATAAAGATTGGCAAGTTCTGATATTGTTCTAAGGGCTAAAAATGGTGCAGAAGCGACACCGTAAGTTACTGTATTTAGGACGTATTCTTGTACAGAATCTTGAGGTGAAAATCTCCATAAGATTCTTTGGAAATCTTTATGCTCTGGAGCGATAAGAATTTGCCTATACATTTGTCGAATGTCGCAGCTGAATACATATTTGAAACATCGGAATGTGAGTGTTATTTTTATTATATCCTTCTGCAATTTGGGTCCAATCAAAAGAGTGTCATTTAATGATTTACCGTTTGTTGTACTTTCAGAAGAATCAAAGACGACGCGCAACTTCGTAGAGTCGCCTTCAGAACGAACAACACAATGATGTAGTAGGTAGTATAATGCTAGACGTTCCGAAGAACTAGAAATCGGTGACATGTGACCAGTGAGGAGGTAATCTTTCATGAATAGTACATAATCCTTTCTCATTTGTGGATTCTTTAATAAACGAGTTTCTAGAACGTTAAATCTTTTCAGGGCCGTGTGATATGATTGACCTAATACAGGCTCATGATTCTTAAAGGGTAATGCTACGATGAAACGACCATCTGATGTTCTACGATGAGTCCTTTTGAAATGCATTTCACATTGTTGTTCTTCTTTAGATAAAGAAGTTGCTGGTGGAAGGGTTTCCAAGAATAAAAGATAAAGAATACGAAGGAGAGGAGGACGGTAAAGATGAGAAAGAATCTGGAAAACATAATGAGATATCATTGGAGGAATTGAATCGATGCGTACAACAACTTAAACCAAGAAAAGCTCCTGGAGAGGATGCGGTAACAAATGAGATTCTAAAGGCCTGCGTGAAAGCGAACCCAGCGATATTTCTCAAAGTGTTCAATGGGTGCTTTAAAAAAGGAGTATTCCCGAAGATCTGGAGAAGAGCAGTGTTGGTACTGGTCGAGAAGCCCAAAAAGGAAAACGAGGAAACTGCGTACAGACCCCTATGCTTAATAAGTGCGGTGGGTAAACTCCTTGAACGCATAATTAATAATAGATTGATTGAAGAATTGGAGGAGAAAAGGGCAATTAGTGATGCGCAGTATGGGTACAGAAGAGGACTAAGCACAACAGATGCGGTGATGGGAATACTTTCTGAAGTGAGAGAAAGGAAAAGGGTATCTCTGACAAACAGAGGATACCGAATAATAATTTTACTCGACATAAAGAATGCCTTTAATTCAGTGCCGTGGTCACAAGTAAGAAAAGCTTTAAGAGATTGTAGAATATCGGTCGGAATAAGAAAGATAATAGCATCTTACCTTTCCCATAGAAGAGTGATATTACCAGACGGACGGCAGATGGAGATGACGTGCGGAGTTCCTCAGGGCTCGGTTGTGGGAGGAACCCTTTGGAATGCGTGCTACGATAGAGTTCTTCGCATCAAAACGGAATTTGGAGTACGGATTGTAGCGTATGCTGACGATCTAGCAGTGGTCGTTCAGGCGCCAACTGCAGAGGAAGTAAAAGATAAAGGCGAATACTGTGTTAGAGGAATAAGCAGAGAATTGAGCGAAATGGGTCTTCAGCTAGCACCCTAAAAGTCGGAAGTGGTAATATTGGAAGGACGGCGAACAATGAAGACCATAGAGATAAATATAAATAATACCACAATATTAAGTACAAGGTCTGTAAAGTACCTAGGAGTGCATATAGGTAAAGATACCACAATGACTATGCACATAAAAAAGGCATCTGAAAAAGCGGGAAAGATAATAAACGCTATGACAGGAATTATGCCTAAGGTCAGAGGCCGTAGCCAAAAGAAAAGAAGGTTAATAGCAACTGTCGTCCAGTCAGTGATATTATATGCCGCTCCGGCATGGGAAGATGCGCTGAAATATAAAAGATACGTAAAAATATTAAGATCAATAGAGAGAAAAGCGTCAATATGTGTTACATCAGCATACAGGACCGCATCAACGAACGCAGTCGGGGTGCTAGCGGGATACCCACCGTACGGTCTACTGGCTTGGGAAAGAGCGAGAAATTGGGAATCGAGAGGGACGTGTAAAGAAGGGAACAGACAGGAAATCTATAGTAGGTGGCAAGAGAGATGGGCGAGGCATACAGGATGGACTAGCATCTTAATAAAAAACGTAAAAGAATGGCAAGAACGAGGACCTGCAACGAACTATTATGCCACGCAGGCCATACTTGGTCATGGAGCTTTTGGTAGTTACCTAAAAAAAATAAAAAGACTAGCATCAGAAACCTGTTGGTATGGCTGTGAAGATCAAGATACCCCACGACATACTGTCTTTGAGTGCAGACACTTCGCAGCACTGAGACAAGATGCACAAAAGAAGATCGGAAGAGAATTAGATAAAAACAGTATTTCCGAGGTTTTCCTAGAGACAGAGGATAAAGGAAGAGAAGTGATGAATTACCTGACAGAAGTTATGATGGAGAAGGAGAGAGAAGAGAAAAGAAGGGAGAAACACGAGGACACCAATCGGAATGTAACTGAACAGTAAAAAAACTAAAAAAAAAAAAAGAGGAAGGTAGAAAAACGAAAACGAGTGCCATGTCAAATGTCGAAGAATGGACGGAAGGAAGAGGAGAAGGGGGTTTTTTAGTTAAACCCCTGTTAAAAGCCCCATGGCCGTATCCATGGCCGTTTTTTCGTGTTGTTTTTTTCAATTATCAATTCGTAGCTTTTTCAACATATGTCAATGTTCTCTGTAAAAGTGAATTCTCAATACATTTTTATATAAAAACAGTGTTAATCTCATCCTTCTTTTTCGTTAAAGTGTGTGCGTCTCGAATATAAAAAGGTAAGACAATATTCAGAACATTTAGAAATTTTTTGGTCCTTCGAGCCGGATCTTGCGATTTTCAGACAAATTTGCAAGATTTTAAAATTAGTGTATCTTTATTTCGTTCAATTTCGTTGATCGGTCGGTTATAGTGCCAATATCTACGTAATATTTTAGTTAATTAAAATGACCGAGTCAAAAAATCCAGACGTTTTATTCGAACGGCAAAATGACTTATATGGACTCATTAACCGAACAATAGACAATCTAAAGAAACTCGCGATCGTGAAACGCACGCGCGCTGCCGTAAAGACCCGTCTTGAACGCCTAGAAGTTAACTGGGAAGAGTTTAATGAAAATCATAAATTTTTATCTAAATATAAATTGGATTATACCGAAACAATATATTTTTCAGAAGATTTATTTTCTTTGTGCGAAGAATCTTATTTAAATACAAAAAGCGAAATGATTGAATTATTAGAGAGCAACGAAGAGTCACTTTCAATACCTGAAAACGTTCTCGTTACTGAAAAAGCTCAAACAGCACCATTTCGCACTCGTAATCTTCCGGTTATTAATCTTCCGAAATTCGACGGTGACTTCGCAAACTGGACTCAATTTCGTGATTTATTTAATTCAATGGTTTATCAAGATAACAATATCTCCAACGTCGAAAAGTTATAGTACCTAAAAATGTGCCTCATAAATGAACCTGCTCGTTTAATCAAAAATTTATTAATTACAAACGATAACATGGCAAAAGCCTGGGAAATTTTGGTAGATCGGTACGAAAACCGCCGGTTGTCAATCGACACTCAGCTTGCAGTTTTATTTAGTTCAAAATCCCTGAAAAGTGAATCATCAGTCGAGCTTAAACGATTTTTAGGAGAGATTAAAGAAGCATTAGGTGCCTTGGAAGCATTAAATTGTTCTGTTGAACATTGGGACAATCTCCTAGTTTATTTATTTACAAGAAAGCTTGATTCAGACTCAATTAAAGAATGGGAAAAAGTTATTGGAGGTTATCTTGAACCCCCATCTTATGTAGAATTTGAAAAATTTCTTTTCAACCGCTTGAGAGCTCTTGAGTCAATTGAAAAATTCTCATTTATTAGAAAGCCTCTTCAAAGTTCAGTTCAGAAAGGTATTGTAAAATCTTATAATGCAACTCCCTATAATGCAAGTTGCGCAATGTGTAACGCAAATCATTACTTGTCGATGTGTCAGCAATACCTTTCAAAAACACCCATTCAACGATCAGATTTTATCAAATCAAAAAATCTGTGCTTCAATTGTCTCGGACCGCATTTGAGAAAAAATTGTCGAAATATTAAACGATGCAAACTATGTAATAAAAACCATCATACGAGCTTACATGATTCAAAGCCTTCTATCAATACCTCAACTCAAGTAAAAGATTCAGATCCTAACCAAATCGATCAAAACACGCCAAGTTGTTCTAACATGCAACGTTCTGCTTCAGCATCTAGTCACCTGATCAACTCTCATCATATTAACACCCCAGTACTTTTAGCTACTGCGATGATTGGGATATTTTCCGAAACGGGCGAATCAGTAACTGTGAGAGCGTTGATAGATCAGGGTTCAGAAGTCTGTTTTATATCAGAGTCTTTAGTTCAAAGGCTGAATTTACCTCGAAAAACAGCATCGATACCAATTTCCGGAGTTGGGTCTCAACGCACGATCATGTCTCACGGGTCCGTAAGAATAAATTTATTTTCTAAAATAAATAATCAAACAACATTTAATGATGAAGCGTTAATCTTGCCTAAATTAACTTCATACTTGCCAAAAAAACGTTCAATAAATCTAGACTTCAATCTTGATTCATTAAATTTGGCCGATCCTGAATACAGCTCAACGACTAAAATTGAATTAATTTTGGGAGTCAGTATTTACTCAAGAATCATTGAAATCGGTATTATTAAAAATATTGACGGTTCGTTGGTTGCCCAACAGACAAGTTTGGGTTGGATTATTTCGGGAATTCTCTCAGACCAACAAGTAACAGATAATAGTCGTTACGGATTCAATTGTTCCATTGATCACGAGCTGCTCGAAGTCATGCAATCATTCTGGAAACAGGAAGAATATCAAACTCAATTACCTTATGCGTCATCAGAGGAGTACGAATGTGAAGAACATTTTAAAAATACTCATGATCGTGATATTTCCGGTAGATTTGTTGTTCGATTACCGTTTCGAAAGCCTCCGAAAGAGCTTGGAAATTCGCTTGACATAGCGCTTAAGTCATTCAATCGGTTAGAGTTACGATTCGCTAAAAATGAAAAATTAAAAACGGAATACAGCAAATTTATGAAAGAATACCTCGATCTCGACCATATGCGCCAAATTACTTCTTGCTTAGATCAACCACATTTTTATCTACCTCATCATGGAGTAATACGTGAATCTAGTACAACAACAAAACTCAGAGTTGTTTTCAATGGTTCTCAAAAATCGTCTTCGGGTTTGTCTTTGAATGATTGTCTAAATGTTGGACCGAAACTGCAGACGGAATTAGTTGATGTACTTTTACGCTGGAGGCGACATCCGATTGTGTTTGCCTGCGATCTGGAGAAAATGTATCGCCAGATTCGAGTACATCAGGATGATTGGCCCTTTCAGCAAATCCTATGGCGTGAAAAGCCATCCGATGAATTAAAAACTTATCAACTCTGTACGGTGACTTATGGATTATCAAGTGCTCCGTATTTAGCATTGAAATGTATTAAACAATTAGCTGAAGAAAATCAAGAAAAGTTTCCTCAAGGGTTTGAAGTTCTTCGTTACAACACATATGTTGATGACATACTTTCAGGCGCTGAAACTGCTGAAGAAGCACATGAAATCATATATCAGCTAAATACAGTATTGAAAATGGGCGGATTTACAGCCAGAAAGTGGATATCGAATGAAACAGATGTATTGAATATCATACCTTCAAAATTACTTGCTGAAACCTCAACTTGTGAATTTAAGGAAAATCACGCTATTCACACATTGGGCTTGTTGTGGGATAACCATAAAGACGAATTTTTATTTAAATGTAATTCTTTCCATAACGAAACCGACCAAGTAACAAAACGAAATGTTTTATCTTTCATTGCACGTTTGTATGACCCTCTTGGTTGGCTTTCCCCTTTGATCACATCGGCCAAAGTATTGATGCAGGAATTATGGATACAACATCTTGACTGGGATGATATTCTTCCATTAGAACTGAAAATTCGTTGGAATAATTTAAGAAAAGAATTCAATAAAATCAATACGATCCGCATACCGCGATGGATCGGAACGTCCAGTCGAGCAACCTCAATTGAACTTCACGGTTTCGCGGACGCGTCCACCATTGCTTACGAAGCAGTGTTATATCTTCGCGTTTCAATTCAGAATGAATTGCGCGTATCAATTTTAGTGTCAAAGTCTAAAGTATCACCTCTTAAACGCGTAACAATTCCGCGATTAGAATTATGCGCCGCGGTCTTACTCGTGCGATTGTTAAAAAGAGTGCAATCGGTCTTAAAACTTTGTGAACATTCAATTTACTTATGGACTGATTCAACAGTAGTGCTATCATGGATTCGCGGCCATCCTTCTCGATGGAAAGACTATGTAAGAAACCGGGTTACTGAAATACATGAGGTGTCGGGAGTACACTGGAACTACGTGCCAGGTGAGGACAATCCAGCGGACCTAGTTTCGCGAGGGGTCACGATGATGAAACTTCAATCCAATTCGTCTTGGTGGTCCGGACCCTGTTGGCTCATGTATCCATCAACTCAGTGGCCAAAAGAATCTCCAAGTCCTCCTAGTCAAGTCGATCTTGAGCAACGTGTCACAATTCCAGTTTCCAACTCAGCCATTCGGAAGAACCAGGGCTGGGATTTAAAAAATAAGTATTCTTCGTTAACAAGACTCCTAAGAGTGACTGCATGGTGCGCAAGAGTGTTTGACAAAAATAATCTTCTTTCGAGTGTTTCAGGAGTTTTATCAGCAGATGAATTAAATCGAGCATTACTATTTTGGGTTAAAGAATGCCAAAATTTAGAGTTTGCTGAAGAACTTATTCTACTAAGATCGAAGCGGACCATCACTCGTACCAGTTCTCTCTATCGTTTGAACCCTTTCCTTGATGGGGATGGATTTTTGCGGATAACAGGCCGACTTCAGTTTTCTAATTTGGATTACGATGAAAAGCATCCTATTATCTTGCCGAAGTTTTCTACAATCACTACATTAATCATCGATTATTACCACAAAACCACATTGCATGGTGGTGTACAGCTCACGTTAGCTTCAATTAGACGTCGATTTTGGATCATTGGTGGTCGAGTTTCCGTTAAGTCACTGATTCATCGTTGTATGATTTGCGCTCGACAACGTGTGGTAACGAGCCAACAACTTATGGGCCAACTTCCCTCCCCACGAGTTAACCAATCGAGACCTTTTCTTCATACTGGCGTTGATTATGCTGGACCGTTTTTTCTCCGAAAAAAGGGTTGGGTTAGGTTAGTCGCGAATGAGAACTCGGCGAGGACGGGTGCGTTACGCGAGCTCGATACTGAGAGTTTCTTCTGAGGCGAAAAATTTTATAAAATGAGCAATCATTATTTAATTACATTAGTGAAATGGATACAGTTAGTTTAATGTAGTTTCAAGTATTTATTATTGGCATTTTAAAGGTTTTCTAGGACGCTGAATTGCGAGGAAACCATTGTGTTTGTTTACACCGAAGTGACAAACCTGTAAAGCGAGAGGCTAATTCTTACAAATTAGGACTAAGGTAAGAAAAGGCAACCAGATACAGAATAGATAATTGCTCAAGCGCGAAAATCGGGAAGTGAATCGCACTAATTGTTTAATTGAGTTCATTAATTATTATCGGAGCGATCGGTTAAGTTCGTGAGTTCTCGCGGTGCCTATATCGGACGGGCGATAAGAGCGCTTTTCATTGCGGCTTCGTCCGCCGCTTCGTCAAGGTGGATTAATGTCGATGCTCTACGCGGTTACAGAGCAAAACATCGCGAGAGAACACCAAATTGAATATAGACATAAAAAAAATGGAGAAGAAAGATGATAAAAATGTACAACAAGGAGAAAAGTCAAACAAGCTAAAACAAATGTATGTACACATGAGGAGTAACTCTGTAGGTGCAGACTATAAAAAAGAAAGATACATAATATATCTTCGGAAGAAGATGAAACATATAATAAAAAAGAATGTACGGAAGCTTTCGTCCTTAAAGAGGCCCTGACCATGATTAGTAATTTGGCAGAGAGACTAAAAGTAAACATGGAACAAAATACAAAACGAGAGGTCAAAGAAATATCCGCAAACCTGGCAAAGCAAGTGGAAGTCATAAATAGGAAAACTATAAAAGAGTGGCTACAGAAAAACACGTATGAAACGATTGAGAAAATGACGTACGACGCTGACGTACAGGCTAAGCCGCATACAAAAGAAATAGGAACACAAACCGAAGGGGAACGTAACGTATATAAAATAACACAAAGCGAAGAAGTAAGTAAGTGGGAGGAGTTAAAAGATCTTTCATGGACAGTAGGAGTGTTTACTAACACTGAAATTCAAACTGGAAATCCCATAAACACAGCAAACGACGTCATAAAAGTAATAATAATTGAACCGGACGACACGAATATGGAGAAAGGAATACAGAAAGTATTCAAGGAGTTTGTTGAGCAGAGGTTTAAAGTGGGAACACGCAATACAATCACAGAGGGGACACGAAAAATCATAAAGATTAGGTACGATGGTACAAAAGAGGACCTTTTCAAAAAATTCGTATCATCTAACTCACCTGGTAAATAAAATAAGAGTAGACCACTACCAAAAAATGCTAGAATGTATCTTCCATCAAACCAAAATAAAAATTAATATATTTACACCAAAAAACGTTATTGAATCTAAAAGGGAGACAAAAACACGAAATTCGTACGCTCTAGTGGTGGAGAACGGAGAGAGAACCCACAAAGACTCTCTGAAATACATTAAAGAAGCGTTAAACGAAGAAAGCTTAAAGAAGTGCGTTAAAAGTATAAGAAGCACAAGAGAGGGCAAAGTCCTTATAACAACGGATAGAAACCTAGAGGCGATCAACAAAGCCCAACAAGCGATCCAAGCAGCCTCTAGAAAGCAAATTATGATAAGAAAGTTGGGAGAAGAAACAGAAACGCTACACATAAGAGGAATGGATGCCATAACGGAAAAACAAGAGGTGGTGGAAAGAATAGAAGAAGAGTTGGGGGAAAAAGACATTATTTTGCAGATGAGCGACTTAAGACCGCTGAGAGGAGACACTTAGGCGGTAACGATTAAAATGGTCAAAAAACATGCAGAACGTCTTCTCACAGCAAAAAGAATGAAAATAGGCTTCACAAGATGTAGTATTGAAAAGCGTATAAATGTAAAGAAGTGCCACAAGTGTTGGGAATATGGACACGCGTCAAGAGAATGCAAAGGACCAGCTCGCACAGAGTGTGGAAAAGGAGACCATGAGTTTAAGAATTGTGAGAACAACGAAGCATGCCCATTATGCAGAACAGATGGGCACAAGGCGGGCACAGTGAAATGTAAAGCTTTTATGACGGCACGGAGAGAACACAGAAACCGCAATGCCATATAAAAATAAACTAAGTGTGATACAAGTGAATGTAAATAGGTGTACTGAGTCGATGAATGTTATAGATAAGATTGCTGTAGATAGGAAAATGGATGTAATTATGATGTCAGAACCAAATAACAATAAAATTAAACTGGGTGGATGGTATAAAAATAAAGAAGGTGATGTAGCAATAAAGATACTAAATAAGGATATCATTGTTAATAAGTGTCAGGAAGGCACTGGATTCGTTATGGTGTTTACAAATATGGGAACTTGGGTAGCATGCTATCTCACACCAAATGAGAGCATAGCAGAATATACGACTAAATTAAATATAATTGGAGAAAATATAGCTGATAAAAACAAAAAGGAAGTTAGGAAAGACGTAATAATTGCAGGAGATTTCAATGCGAAGTCTTTCGCTTGGGGATCAAATAGAGAAGACAAGAGAGGAGAAATACTTACCAAATGGATGGCAGAAAAAGGGTTAGTAGCGCTTAACAAAGGAAGAAAACCAACATGGCGCAGAGGAGATCAGGAATCCCATATTGATGTTACGATGTGTAATGAAAAGTCTATTAAGAGGGTGAGTGACTGGGAGGTCATAGACGAGGAAAATCTGAGTGACCATTTGAATATAGTATTTAATGTAGATACAACCAATGAAAATAAAAATACTGATAGCGGGGCGGTCAATCGCTGGAGGAGAAAAGAGGATTTGGTTGATAAATATAAAGAGGCAATACAAAGAAAGTTAAAAGCAACAGATTCATTAACACCTGAACTTCAGACAATATTAACAAAGAAAGCTTGCGATGAAACCTACGGAAAACCAAAAAAAAACGATACCAAGAAGAGGTAACATATATTGGTGGAACACCACGGTGAAAGAGGCTAAAGAGGAAGCAAATAAATTCAGACGTGCAATAACAAGAATAAATAAAAGAACTGATAGCGACGACGAGAAACAAAGCACTATGAGATCGTATGAAAAGGCAAAAAAGACATACAAAAGAGCAATTAAAAAAGCAAAGAAAGGCGCCTGGAGGGGGCTATGCAACGAATTGCAGGAAAATGCATGGAGGGAGGCGTATAAACTGGCATTGAAGAAAATAAAAACCTAGTGAGAGTTACGCTGATGCAGGATGAGGCTAAGAAAATAATAAAGGAACTTTTCCTGGACGGAAACGGTGAGAAATATGAGGCGGAGAACATCGAAAACGATGAAGAAAGGTGTAGAGAGGTAACGAGCGAAGAGATACGACACCTAGCAAAAAACCTAAAGAACCAGAAAGCTCCAGGACCAGATAGGATTACGGCAGAAATAATTAAGGATACCGTAGCCATAGAAGAAGTAAATAAAATAACGGTGATGTACAATGACCTTATTAAAAATAACACATTCCCAAACCCCTGGAAACATGGTAGATTGGTGCTAATTGAAAAACAAGCCAACGCAAACAAATACCGACCACTATGTCTACTAAATACCTATGGTAAATTATACGAGGCCATTATCAAGAAAAGACTCGAGGAGGAACTGCAAGAAAGGGGGGGGGGCTGTCAAGGTTCCAATACGGCTTTACAAAGGGCAAATCAACAGTAACTGCAATTGAGCAAGTGCTTGGAGAGGCCAGAAACCTGCAAACGTTCAGACAGGGTAAGAAAAGGAAGTGCTTATTAGTTACAGTAGACGTCAAAAACGCCTTCGGATCAGCCCCCTGGGAAAAAATAGTGGAAGCGTTGAAAAAGAAAGGAATCTCGAGTAGAGGAGTGCCCCAGGGATCCATACTGGGACCAATAATATGGAATGTCTTCTTTGATCAGCTACTGGTAGAAGAACAGAGGGAAAACTCTTCGCATACGCAGATGATTTGGCCATAGTGATTAGTGGATGGGAGGTCGAGGACATACGACAAAATGCACAAATTGCAATGCAGAGAGTGATTGCTAAGATGGCAAAAATGGGCCTTGAGATTGCTCCTGAAAAAACAGAAGCCGTGCTGCTCATAAGCAGAAGATGCAAAGAGGAGGTGGAGCTAAAAATAAAGGAACACCGTTAATTCAAAGAAGTCAGTGAAATACCTCGGGGTCATGATAGGAAAAGACTTAAAATGGCATGAACACGTTAGCTACATCACAAGCAAAACACAAAAAACAGTGAATGCTCTAAACAGAGTGATGGGATCAACCTACGGACCGAGAGCAGAAAAGAGGAAGTTAATCGGCTCTGTTATATACTCGCAAATTTTATATGGATGTAAGGCATGGCGTGAAGCGTTTGAAACCAAAAAACATCTAGAAAAGATCAATAAGATCCAAAGACGCGTAATGATAAGAGTGACAAGCGCTTACAGAACAACATCAACGGAAGCTCTGCATGTGATAGGAAGCACAATACCCATAGCCTTAATGGCGAAAAGAAGAAGTAGAATAATGGAAGAAACAACAAACAGGGGTAAAATGAATGCGCAGATGATAAACGAGTGGGAGACGAGATGGGCAAAGGATACGGGAAAGGCCCGCTGGACGAAGAGGCTAATTCCAAAACTGATTCCATGGATAGATAGAAAGTGGGGAGAAGTGAATTACTTTCTGAGCCAGTTCCTCAGCGGGCATGGGTGCTTTAGAGCTTACCTTTACATTCATAAGAGGAGCGATGACGAAATGTGTATATACTGCAAAGATAAGGTGGATAGTGTGGAGCACACGTTTTTCGAATGCATGAGATGGAAAGAGAAAATTAAAGAATTCTACGAGAAACTGGGAATCGTCTTAACACCGGAAAACTGGGAATCGTCTTAACACCGGAAAACTGCCTAATCCCCTATTAAAAAAAAAAAAAAAGGGTTGGGTTGGGTTTCCCTCAGGGGCCCAGTGAGGAGTCACTGGGTACGGGCTTAGCGAACCCGAGGCCGCCTGAGCTCGAGGAGCATACCTCGTTAAAAAACTGGG